GAGAATCCCACTCATCTTGGAGGTGAGCGTATTCTCACTTCTTGAACAGGTGAAAAGTGGTTGCAAAACTATGCAAAGTTTGAGCTTATTCTTAAGTATCACAAGACACAGTGCACAAGTGATGTGCAAGGTCCTGCACATGGGTCAGGGCAATTGCACAAACACAGGCTGGGTGATCAGTCCTATTAAGAAAAGGAGTTGAATTTTTACCTCTTTGAGCAAAAGCTTTGAAGAACAGATCATTATACAAAGAGGGACTGTCAGCACCAGTATTCACAGCAGTTCTGCAGGAAAGGGTCCCAGCTTTGCAGTCTAAGTCGTCAGAAGGATCTCCCTACACTTGATGGAGAGAAGATGGATTTTTTCAAACATACTGAGCATTATCTTCCTAGTTTTCTGTAGACAGTTGTACACAGAGCCTGCTCACTGATCTCATCTCGTCACTGTTACCTAATTATCTTCAGGTATAATACTCTTGCAGGTATGATGCAGACTTGTTTGTGGGAACCACAAGTCTGTTAGATCTCACAGTGCTTAATTTGCAGTTGTCTGTATCTTAGGCCTTTTGAACAAAGTCAGAGAGCCTTACCTGTTACTGCTCTGCCATCTAAAGCCAAAAGCAGTACCATGGTGCTGTGGGCTGACTTCAGTGGGCAGCTCAGCCCCACCCAGCCACTCGCTCAGTAACCCCCAGTGGGATGGCAGGGAAAATGAGAAGGGTAGAAGTGAGAAAACTCATGGATTGAGATAAAGAAAGTTTTAACAGGTAAATCAAAAGCCACATGCACAAGAAAAACAAAATAAGGAATTCAGTTACTATTTTCCATTGGCAGGTAGGTGTTCAGCTGTCTCCAGGAAAGCAGGGCTCCATCATGTGTAATGGTTCCTTGGGAAGGAAAACACCATCACTCCAAATGTCCCCCCTTCCTGGGATGGAATATCCCTTTTGACAGTTGGAGTCAGCTGCCCCAGCTGTTTCCCCTCCCAACTTGTTGTGCACACCCAGCATACTTGCTGGTGGAACAGGGTGCAAAGAAGAAAAGGCCTTGAATGCTGTGCAAGCACTGCTTAGCAGTAGCTGAAATGTCCTGGTGTTACCAACAATCTTTTCAGCACAAATACAAAACAGCACCTTACAAGATACTGCGAAGAAATTTAACTCTATCCCAGCCAAAATCACTACAGTATGTTTTAAAAACTTAATGAATGATCACACAGAACATGTTCCATATATTTTAAGCATTTGTCAAAAGTTGCATGGGCTCAGTAATTGATCATATTAATTTTGTTGCCTGCACTCTTATATTCCAACTAATAATCACTGCAGAAGAACGATTTGATGGTACACATACTCTGATTGCCTGAAGGATACTTTTATTTTTAATCATAACTCAGTTGCATTTCCATCTGGCAGAAAAATACTTAGGAAAATTTACACATTTTCAGGCATGTCATGAGCTATAATAGGCATTTTAAATTTCTGAAGTCTGTATACTTTGAATTAAGACTTCATTGCTCATATTGAAGTTGTTCGCATTGCAGTTTTTCCTCACTATCATATTTCTCAAACAGCTCTTTTTTTTCAGCCTGTTGTTTAGTGTTCTTCTCATTGAGATGTACTACTTCAGTATGTACATTTTCATCTGACTCTTCTGAAATAGGTTATGTACCTTCAATATCACTCTTCATTGGTGATCTTTGAAATTCAGATACAGCTTGTTTACCTCACAGTACTGGGCATTTCTAATAAATTGTGCTTATTTGAAGGAACATTACTGTCTTTAGTATCTTGCTTCAAGTGGAATAGTAAGTTACAATTTTTATGCAAAACCTGAGACTGTGACTTTAGAAGTTAGGGTGTTTAAAGTAATTCTGAAGATTACATTAATTTCCATGAAGTTGAAGAATGCAAGATTCAGGCAGGAAATCATACTGGTCATTCACATTGAGAGATATAAGGAAAGAATAAACTACATGTATTGGAGAGGAAGGGTAGGGTTTGTCATATCGTTATGTTCTACCTTGCAGTAATTTTACAACATCAAAATTATATACTTTAGAATATTAATGTACACGCAATTATTTTAATGGATGGGATTTTGTTTTATATTACCACAAAATTAAAGCTCTTCAGCAATGTGAAGCATTGTTACCTATTGCTTAAAAAAATTGATAGGCTATTTAGAATACAAGATTAAGCTTTGTTCCTTTCTAACTGTTGGCAGAGAACTTCATGAACCAGTGAGTGATATGTTATTTAACTTAAGTATGCAGTATGATAAGGATGTTTTTTCTGTGGCAAACTATTCAAGTTTTGAGTGTCTTTCACCCTTTTGATGTATTAAAAAAAAACCGCCCAACTTACAAAAAAGCCAAAAACAATCAAGAATTTTGTTCTGGTGTTACAATTTTATAACACAAAAAAATCTAAATAAATTACCTTTTAATGCTAATTATGAAGCAGTTTCTTGTATTCCTATTAATATTGTTACTTTGTTTATTCTCCTTTAAAGCAAGGAAACGTAACTGCAGTATGTGAAAATATAGCCGTTAGTAATGCTCTGTTGGTTAGCTTGAAGCGTGTTTTGTCCAAGCAGCACAATTCAATCAATACTTTTCTTGTCTGAGAGATGAGGGAGTCTCTGTGGTGAGCCAGCCTCCACGTGCACTTATAAATGTTCCAAGATTGTTTCCGTGTTCAGTTGAATTCTGTGCTTCTGATGCTGGATAGAATGAGAACATCTACTGTTGTTGGATCCTGGTCATTGCCTGTGTATTTAGAGTTCATACTCTGCTTGTGAATTGACAAAAATAAAATAATCTGAAAAGACTGTACCAAATATGTCTTTGCGTATAACTTCAAGGAGGACACATACTGTTAGCTGAAGATGTGTACCAGACCTCCTAAAACTGAGATTCTTTCAAATTTCAGGTTAACTTTCTCTGAACAGCAAACTGTTAGTCCCCTGAATAATTTGGTTATAATATTTTTTGTGGACCTTCAGCATCAGTTTTGCAGAAGGTCAGCCTTGTGAATAGAAACCTTGGTTTCTAACAAAGGTTTCTTGCTCCTGTGTGTCTACCATGTTTTTGCTATGGCTGTACCTGACTGCACCACTTGCAAAAGCACTGCAAATTATCCTCCGCATGTTTTTGAAAAACTGAGGCTGATGGAGTTTTGCCTTCATAATGTAAGTCCCAAAAGATGGCATTTCACATATCACCTTGCAGCAACTGTTTCACATGGGCAGGTGTAAAGAAAAACTTGTTTCCCTGACTGTCAACCAAGGTCCCTGTGATGCTCTTTGCAGGCACTTCTCACAGTTACATGGTGAGGGCTAAGTTCTGCTTTACTCTTAAAATACAGGTTCACCTTCTTTATGAAAAATATTTTCTCCAGTTTTGCAAATCTTACTTTTTCTGCATAGAATGACTTGCAGGAAATTTGCTACTGTGATAATTAATTGATCTGCAAGTTAATATTAGGGATTAGCATATTATTCTTTTTTGTTTCAAGTCATAATAATGAAAATCTCTTTTTAAAGTGAAGCTGAGCATATTGTATATCAGTTCTGTAATTTTAATCAAAATATTTAATAACTTTTTTTTAAATGAAACTATTATAAGCTAAAAGGAGCATAGTTCAAAAACTGGTAGTTTTAGTGATGTCATGATGTTCAGGTGACTTAGTTGTCTTGCACGTAATAGGTGGATTTTTAAAATTATTTTTTAAGATTGTTTTTCTATGTATGGTAAAGACAAACAGATATTAGTAATAACAGTTATTGAGGCTTGCTTTTAAGAGCTCTTTCATAAGGCACTCAAGTCTTGAAGTGGAAGAGAAGGTTAAGCATTAGTATAGTAAATAGCTATGAGGGGGGTTTATTGTTTAAAAAAAAAAAAAAAAAAAATCCCAGGACTGAAAGCTGTATATCTTTTCAACTTGGTATGATGAACATAAGCCAAAAAAATTATGCTGTTGGTGAACAGCCATTATTGGAACAATAATTATAATATGTAAGTGAAAGGTTATTTTATATACAGACTGAGGGTATTGCTTAAGATTCATTCATTCTGTTAATTTAAATTAGTTCATTTTATATGAAGCTTTGTGCAGTGTGGGTAACCTATTTTGTAGGGTAATTGTATTTCCTTTAGGTAATTTTCTGTGTTGCTTGCTGAACACTTATTGAGATAGTATACAACGTTCTGGTTAGGATTTTTCAGAATTTATAGTAAGAACTGTTGAATCTCTTCAAAAAATGCGGGAATCAGGCTGAATCAAGGTTAATGGCTGTTTATAGAAAGTGAAGCCTCCAGGTTAATACAGAAGGTGAATAGGTCACAGTGTTCGAAAGCAGCTCTATTTGATTTTCAATTAGAGTCTAGAAGTATAAGTTATACAACCAGGAATGAAACCCAGATCTAGCATTGTTTCATAACATTTGTTTGTTCAGATTTTTGTTAATAATAAAAAATACACCAACATAGACATGGATATCATGTACATTGTTAGCATTAGAAACAGTCATATTAAAACAGAATTAATTTTTGGCTTCTACAGAGGAGCTTAATTGATTTGTTGGGTTTGTCCTGGCTGTATGAAATCTTTCATTGTGGTGAAAAGTAGTTGGTAAAGGGATTTTTTAAATTATTATTAAAAGCCTCCATGAGCACACATTTGCACCAACAGACCATTTCTGAACTAGAATGTCCCTCATTTTACTATTCTTGGCAAGTTAGTCCAGAAAGATTTTTGATAGAATTTACAGCTCTTTACAGTTCTATTTTTTTTATTTCTTAAATGGTACTGGACCCAACATCCTGAGTAGATGCAAGTTTGCTGTGAAATTTATACTTTTTACTCCTTTTCTTATTTTTTTAACAGTTACTCAGTTCTTATGGGTCTGCACAATACAAACTGAATCATTTATATGTCAGTGCATGGAAGTTTGTCGTGCTTAACTTGTGCTACTTACTTTTTGTTTTTTCCCCTACAGGTATATTCGAATTGTTGGGACCCACAACACAGTGAACAAAGTTTTCCATATTGTGGCATTTGAATGCATGTTCACAAACAAAACCTTTACTCTGGAGAAAGGTCTGATAGGTAAGAGATAGAACTGTTTTCCTTTTATGTGAACTGTTGCAAACACTTTTTAACACCGATCATCACTGAACTCTTGCTCTACTTCTATTGCCACACAGGAATCTCTAACTTGAATTAGATGATGGAATAAGCATAGAATTAGTTGGCTAGTCCTTGTGACTCCTTTGAAATTCCAGTTCGATGAATTAATTAGTGATGCTGCAGGAATGCTAAAGTTCAAATTAAATCAACTACTGCTGGCAAAGCCACTGGTAACTGAGTCAGTCTGTGCTGCTAATCCGGTTTTGGGGGGGTTTTTTGCATGTCATGGTATGGTTGCTCTTGCTTCCCACTAGGTTAGCCTGAATTCTGTAATGAGGATGGAGTAACCAGAGGTATTTATTGCAGTGAAGATGGATTTGGGCATTTTAGGGCCTCTTATACAGCCTAGTTTCAACGGCTAAAAGTAAACTCTCATGTGTTGATTTTCCCCCAAAGAGTCATAGACAGACTTAGCCATGGCAGAACGTTATATTGGCTGCCCTTATTCTCATAACATCACGTTGATGGAGCTCTGTGACCTCTGGAGCTCCAGACAGCTTATATAGTACTGGTTTAAGTACCTGTACATAGTATTACATCACTTAAGGTAGAAATCCCCAACACACCCACAATACTGAATAATAAGATGTGTCAAAGTAAGATTTACTATAAATTTTTTTTATTATCCAAATGGGGATTTCTGTGCTTTCTTCTATATAAACTCATGTGAGTGAGATCCTGAAGTTCTTTGGGAAGAGTTTTGTGCATCTTTTAGTAGTTGTCTAGGTGGGATTTCCCACACTTTGTTACTTCTGGCATGAAGTTGAGAATTACAGCAAAATTCTCAGAGTTCATGCTGGTTTTAAACATATATTTAAATTTTAAGTATGCGTCTATGATAGATGGAAGGGAAAAGTTTTCAAAAAAATAAGAGGGAAGATTTTATTAAGACATGTTTCTTCTGATTTTTTTTCTGAGAAAACTATATTTAGCTGTGAAAAACTGGGACCTTCCTTCCATGAAATTTATCAGCCCATTCCCCATGCTTTATATAAAGGCATTGCATGGTTACACCTGATCTTACGAGGTTTGCTGTGTAATTTCCCAATTTATTTTTTTCTTAAACAGAAAATAAGTAGCTTGACCAATAACACTTTACTGAATTTTGTTATATAGCCCCAAAGTGTACAAGCGGTCTCATAATGCAAATAGAAATTTCTCCCTTTGTTTTAGGGAGTTTGCAAGTAATTTTGCAGTTGCTATTGACAAGAAAATAGAATAAGCAGTAAGGAAGAACTGTGTTTACTACCTTCAGTAAGCTAGTTAATGGAGAACCAAAATGTTTCAAGTTTGATAAAACCTTTGAGCTAAATTTCAAATTTAGCACTGCCAGCTACGAATTTTTAAGAACGTCATACAAAATCGGAGTTACTATGTGCAAAGAAGTGGTACATATATGTGTATTTTTTTAATTTAAGTTTATCGGTCTTATTTAGCAAATACTTAATTTAGGACTCAATTAACATAGGATTTCCTTTTTCTTTTTGTGTTAACTCAAAGATTGTTTGGTTGTAACAGTAGGCAAGGTAGTGAATTTATGTATGTTTGTGGAAGTGTACTTGTACCGTAATTGACTTGTCTTTCAGATACTCAGTGATATTTTGAGTTTTAGTGAGACAACTGTTTTAGCATTTAATGAGTTTTAAAGATAATCTAGGGGATGGAGACTTTATATGGCTTTATTAAAATTTATCTGTTTATGAAATTTTTTTTTATAGTTACAGTATCTTACAGGTAAGTAGGGTTTGGAGTACATAATAGTAAGTATCTGTTGTTCTTGGTGATCAGTGGAACTATCCTGTCATTCAGTGTGGACCAGTCAAACTGATATACATGCAAGTGGTTTGAAGTGATCTACAATAAGTAGAGGCACCTGTAGGACTCTACAGCTTTTTATCTTGGATGGTAGTCAATACAATTAATAGAAAATTAAAAGAGTAAGAATTCAGCAAGTAGTTAATTAGAAGAGAAATGTGAACCAACATCCAGTTGTAACTGAGGCAGCAACAGTTGGATACTTGGCCCTGCAGAATTTGTGGTGAGAAAGGGACAAATGGAAAGATTCTGGGATTAGTCGAGGGCAGTCCAGTTGCGAAATGATGCAGGGGCACAATGGCTGTTCCACCAGAATGTATGGCCATCAGTGTTACCTATTCAAAAATACTCTCAACAGCTTTGATACAGCGAAGTGACCTTATATCCATTTAGTGCTTTGCTTTACATACCTGTAATGTTACTGTAAGGTAGCATGTTATCTGGCTCCCTTGATCAAGCAAACTGTCCTAGTTCCAATTTCATTAAAAAAAATCTTTATGACTACCAATGGGGTAGTTGGCACAGATTTATTTTATTGCTCTAATAAGGATTTGTAATGTTTGTTTCTGTTTCTGCAGTGACCAGATAGGGTAAAGTGAACTGAAAGCAGTTAGGAAAGCTCCATGAAATATATGAAAGTGCAGTAATCAGAGGAGGTTGCTTTTAAGCTTCATTGAGTATAGAAGCTTTCATTCTCAACTCTTGAAAAGCAGCATTGGGTAGTACTATTGGGTTCATTGTTTATGCTGTATGGTATTAAATCAGGTTAGAAAAAACACAGTTCCTTTCAGACTGACTTTGTGACCCTTACTTCTGCCAAAACAACACTGAAAATAATATGCAAAGAGTGTGATTTTAAATCTCATTACAAAAAAACAAGATCATTGAAGTATTTGTTTAGGGATCTTATGTGGAGATTTATTTATTTATTTATTGTGAAACCTATTCAACTTGATCAGAAAGCTGTATGTACAAAGAGGGTAATTTATCAGATAAATTACTAATGATACATAGTATCTATGTAATGGCTGTCACTGTAAAATGAAGATTATAAGGCTGGTAAATAATAAAAATTAAGTGCTGTTTCATGGTAACAGCAATTTTATGTTGCTGTGTTTTTGCCTACAAGGTTTTCATGACAAATTATTAACTTGGCATATTGCATTTAAAAGTTAATATGTAAGATGGTTTATAGTTACCTTATAGAATAGTGGATGAAATACTGACATGACCCATTTGTAATTAATTGAGTAGCAGTTTTGAAGTAAAAGTAGAAGGAAATGCTCTTTCTAGCACTGTCTGGTGTTTCAGTGTTGGTTTACACTTTGTAGATGTGAAATGAGATAAGTGACAAAATTCAGTCATATGAAATTATTCACTAACGCAGATGTTAGGGTTGAGATGTAAATTTTTTTCAGCATAGTATTATCTCTTAATGTGTTAGTTAACAGTTCTACAGATTAGATTCACAAGATTGATGTAACTGTTTAGTTTAACAGGGATGTAAATATTTTTTAAATCTCAAAAGTATAGTGTTTGCTTTTAATGAATTTCCATTTCTGAAATTTTGAAGCGTCTTTAGTCATTAATATTTAATCTAGAATGCAAAACAAATGAAAATTTTCACAAGCAAGAGGCATACTCCTTTGGAGGCAGAAGTGGTATCTGGTGTGATGTGACATTTTGTAAAAGCTTCCAGTGTGTCCAGTGGCAAGAAGCTACAACAGTGGGTAAGGGGCTGCTTCTATGCAACGCCTGTTTTGCTTTTTTTTTTTTCTCCACCTAAATATAGGAACCAATTTCTCTTTTCTGCCTCAAAGGGAGAAAATTGATAACTTCATTTAGACCTTTAATCAGTACTCGGTGCTGAGGGGTAGTCAAGGACTATGAAGGCATGTGGGTCTGACCAGCCTACTATCCTATTTTGAGCCTGGTTAAGGTCATAGGGAGTGCAATGTGAAAGGCTTTTATATGAAGTTGTGTTTATCTGTAGTCTGTCTCAGTCTATCAGACTATCTTGTAACTTGTAAGCTACCCACAAAAGGGAGAAAAGTAAATAATGACTGAAGAGCCGGAGATGGATATAAAACACTGGAATGTCCTTGGTCACCCTCTGGGGAATGCTGTTCAGTACTTATGAATCATTGTGAACCTTCATTTGTGTGCTCTTCAATGCCTTAGGAGAAATTGTTTTCAGAAGGAAAAAATTAAATGAATAAATAATCATTCACTCTCTTTTACTCTCTGGCAGTTACTTTAGAAAAGAAAAAAAAAATTAAATGTATAACAGTAAAACCAGTCATATCAGTTTCCTAGTGTGTGGTTTGGCTTTGTAAAAGATTGCTCTATCTCTCTCCAAGGAAGCAGTGAGAGATGCTATTTTTGTATCTAGTTTAATGTTAACTCCACACAAAGCTATCGTGTTTTGTTTTTCTCTTTATGATTAGCCTTCTTTCAAAATCATGCAGGTTTACCCAACAATGTGAGTCAGTTCTGCTGCAACCATAGCCTTAGGCAATTAGGAAAATTTGAAGACGATCTAAATACTGCAGGGATTTCCCCTCCCCCTTTCTACAGGAAAGGACAGCCACATAATCTGTTTAGTTACTGCTACCCATTCTTCAACACAGATTTGTTCATATGGTTCCAGTTACACTTTTTTCTTCCCATTTCCAGTGCTGCAACGAAGGATGTGTACTTCATAGGGCTCTTCTGAAACAAGTGCTATTTCCAAAAGCCACCTTCAGGCAGAATGTTTAATGAATGAGCCCTGTAGCTAGCCAGTTGGTTGGCAATTAAAAGTATGGCCAATTCTAATGGCTTGAATGCTTTTGTTCTAATTTATTGGATCAGAAATCTCAAGCTATAGCAGATACCAACTGAAGAGTCAGCCTTCTCCTGAAGTTACTCTAATCCAAAGTGATAGTTGGACATAGACAAATATTAGTGGGGTTTTCTGTTACAGCTAAATATGTCTTGCAGAAAGCTTTTCACTAAAACAGGCATAAATGCTATTGATACTTGTTTAAAGATGGTACTTGAGTTCTTGATTGATTTCCTGATTCAAGATTCAAATGAAAAATAGCAACGTCATCAGCAATTTT